AAAAAAAAAAAAAAAAAAAAAAAGAGAGAGATACATAAAAGATATCAAAAGACCAAAATCAAGCTTTTAGAAATGTAAACTACAATGTTTGGGATGAAAAATATACTAGATGGGAATAATTAGACATTGTAAAAGAAAATGTCAGTAAACTTGAAGCATACCAATAGAAATTATATAAAACGAAATTTAAAAATAATTTTTAAAAATGAAAATACCATCACAGTGAGCTGCATAACAACTTGAAATGGCTTAAAAGACATAATTGGAGTCTCCAAAGAAAAGGAAAAATAACAGAGAGCAGAAAACGTTTGAATAAATTACAACTATAAGTTTTCCAAATTTGATAAAATCTATATAGCCACAGATCCAATAAGTATAACAAGCCCCAAGAACAAGAAATGTAAAGAAAACCACAATCAAATTGCTCAAAACCAGTAATTAAAAAAAAAAATTTAAAAGCAGTCAGAGAAAAGAGATGTTCTATATAGAAGAAAGGAAAGGATGACAGCAGGTTTCTCACTGGAAATAATGCAACCCAGAGACAGCTGAGTATAGAAAGCAAAATGGAAAGCAAAAAACAAAAATCTGTTGTTCTAGAATTCTGTATCTAGAGAAAACAGCCTTTAAAAATGAAGATTAGAATTTTTTCCAAACATGCAAAAGCTGAAAGAATTCATCACCTGCAGACTTACACTAAAAGAAAAATATTAGACTCAAGAAAAATGACTTGAGACAAAAATCTGCATCTACGCAAAGCAATAAAGAGCAAAGGGAATGGTGGCTACATAGACAAATATACGAGACTGCATTCCTATTATTTAAATTTCCTTACAATACCATAGATTGTTTAAACAAAAAAATGAAAAGAAAAAAGCAATGTTCCAAGTGAGTGAAAATCATGAAAGAATATGGATGATATAAGAAACAAGAATTGGGAGTGACCCAATTATTCTTGACTAGAGCAACTGGTCTGCATAAAAGAACAGTAAGAGGTAAGGACAGAAAGGTAGGAAGATACCACACCATGGAAGATCTTATCTTGAAGGCTTTATGAACTAATATTGTTTATGGTTTATTCATTAAGACATTAATATGAACCAAGTGTTGTCAATGTTTTCTTTCCTAAGATTAATTTCCCAGCAGAGTACAGGATGAACTGGAAGAAAGTGTAGGCAGAGCACCCAATAACGATACCCTAGGTATGGGAAAATATGGCCATAAATTACAATGGTACACTGGAAAGAATAAAAAAAGTAGGTAAGGGAGACCTAATGGGAAAGACTTAGTGATTAATTGCATGGAGGGGTTGAGAGAGAAGGGAGTAGTAAGCATAGTCATATCTCCGCTCTAACAACCTCTTACTTCAAAGAGGGAAGCAGTGAAAATGGTAACTAAATAGGTAAGTAAATATGTATGATTTCATAGAGTCAATCATCAAAAGAAAAAAGAAACTCTGATTATACTTGGTTTTTACCAAGGTTTTAGTCAATTACCTTTTTTTCATAACCCATTCATTGTGTCTTTCCCTGTCCTGTAGCACGTTTTGTAATAGAATGAAAAACAAAAATGTACAGAAAAGCTGATGATGTAATGGCAATATAGAGTGAAATACAGATTTAAGATCTAACTTCCACTGTATTAAATACTACAGGCAAAGAGTCAACTACATGAAGAAAACATTTGCCACAAAAACCCTCCATTAATAACAAAAGACTGAACTGCAACACTACCTCCCGATTCTCTTCGGCAATTTTAATAACAAGAGAAAAACATCAATTTAAACACATCTAACTAAAAGCATAAAAACATCTTCAAAAATTAGACCTAGGGAAGAATAACAGTCACTGAGATTTGACTTGTATGATAGAGTCCCTGAAACCCATGCTTTTTGTTAGCCATGCTTTACATGTTTTTCCAAAGACATACAAATATACATTAATTTCCTGCTATATTTTATTAGCTACTTAAGATCAAAAAGATGATTCAAATGCATATTTCATGAAATAAATGCAAAAACAGAAATATTAGAAAACATGGAGAACAGAACATAAAAATAAAGGTCAAAGAATAAATAAATTCACAAGTCCTCATGCACTAATTTCTGATAGTATTTGTCAAGCATTAATGGTATTTGCACTTGTACAATAACATCTAATAATTATACATACAGCAGTAGATATATGATGTGGGAATTCACCTTTGTTATGTAGCAAGAATGATAAAAAGAAGCAGATGAGGATGTTGTTTAGGCTTGGTAATGGCTAGGTAAGAAGAGCATTTTGTAACATCAGTCATTACTCTCTGCATGCCCGTTTCCCAAACAGACAGGATTCTGACCTTGTTAAAGGCCTGTGAGAATGGCACTGCATACTCACTGGGAATATCAAATGTGAAGAATGAGATGGTTAATCTCAGAAGCACATAAACAGCTCCACAAAATCCACCTAGGTCAGTGGCCCACCTTTAGTAAGTTCCTAAGAGGGAAGCAAGAGGTTCATCTGGCCAAACCTTGTTGCTAGCGTTTGGCTGATTTTTTAACTATTTAGAGATGTGAAAGAATAATTTCCATGGCCATTACATCACTATTACATTGCCATTGCATATAAGATGATATTAAAATAAAAGAACAAAAGATTCTGAAACTCCAGCTCTATACATTTTGTATTACTAGCTTTGACTGCATTTCACAAGGAAATGTAAACTGAAAACACAAAGTACTCATTTGAAGGAAAAAAATGATTAAAAATGCCTCATAAAGTATAAAGGAAAGACACTTCAAGTGTTTTAAGCTAGAAACATCAGTATAACTCAAAACAGTAACTAGAAAATTGCCCAATATGCAAAACAGGGTTAATGTGGTATGGCTGCACTTGTAAAAATACATTCTCAAAACACTAAGAAGACGGATCAAGTATCTCCTCAGAGTTTAAATACATTTCATACATGAAACCCCAGCTGAATCTGATTTTTCTAGCTTCATTTTTTATTTATTTAATAAATAAATAAATTTAATAAATAAATAATGTTAATACCTCCAGGATGTACCTTACTGACTCCCCAAGGACCTTTATAACAGTAGCTACAGCATGAACAGCAAGGAGGAAAAAAACAATGTATGTCTCCTATTATGGTTGAAATCCAAAATAAATTCAGCTTTTCTATAGCATTTATCTTGATTTATGAATGTCATATTGACTGTTTACCCAAATCTTCAGCATGTAATTTGTGAAATTTTAGTATCACATGCTGTATTTTATCTAAATTGGGCTTAATTATACTAAACTGATTATAACAATAACCTCTTCTAGAACCCCTACTGTTAGGACCTGTTCGACATTTCCTTCTAGAAAAATTACTACAATGGTAGCTTTGTCTATCAATAAGGCCTCATTTGTAAATAATTTCATTTTATATTCTTCACAAATATATTTATTGTGTCTGAAATATTCAAGTATTATATATTTAAGCAACAGAAAAGTTCAGAAAAATGATACTCTCTTCATATTTGAAAAAGTCCTAGACAAGTTTACTATACATTTTTACTTAAAATGTATCTCTTAATACTTTAGTATACATTTTTATTTAAAATGTATCAGATATTAATAGCTATACTTTCTTCTTTAAAAAAAAAAAAAAAGAGGCTCTTGCTGTCTCCCAGGCTGGGGTGCAGTGGTGGAATCACAACTGACTGCAGCCTCAACTTCCCGGACTCAAGCGATTCTGCCACCTCAGCCACCCGAGTGGGTGGGGCTATAGGTACATGCCACCACATCCAGATAATTTTTCTATTTTTTTGTAGAGACAGGGTTTCACCATGTTGCCCAGGCTAGTCTTGAACTCCTTGGCTCAAGCAATTCACTCCCCTTCACCTCCCAAAAAGCTAGGACTACAGGTGTGAGCCACCACACCCAGTCTTAATATTGATAGTATTTTAATACAGTGTCTTACAAATGTCATTATTGCTATAAGAGCTTGAATCCTATTTCCAAAAAATTATTTCTAAATGTGGATAGTCATAATCCCAAGTTCAACGAAGTAACAAGTTAAGTAGCATGCTTCTTTAATAACAGTAGTAATATATACACATGCACATATACAAGCTTAGAACTGCAACACACATATACATATACACATTGTTTACTGCATGCCAGGGAAATATTATTTTATTCTCTCAAAAAAATTTTAAGATAGGAAATATTACCCTGATTTTACAGATGAAGAAATTGAGACACAAATATCCAGTGACTTGGAATAGGTCACAGTGCTAGCTAGGAGTCTATCCGAAGTTCAAACTAAACAGTCTGACTCCAGAGCCAAAGACAAATTCCGTATATTTAGTTTATGAAACAGACCAAAAAAGAAAACAAGAATGTGCTATTAAGCAGATAGGACATAACATGGAGACACACAAAAGAAAGATATAAAACTGTCTATGTAGTATGACAGCAATTTTTTTTTTTTTTAATGCCCAGAAAGGGATTAGAAAGAAATATGCCAAAAGGGTTAACATTTGACACTGAGCAATGAGATGCGGGCTCATCTTTCTTCTTTTCTAATACTTTTGTGCTTTCAAAATTTGACTGAAAGTATGAATCTCTTTTACAGTGAGACAAGAGAAAGAAAAGTTACATGCAAAAGCAAGGAAGTTTGACAGATTTCAAGAATGCTTTCTCTTGTCAAGATTACCAACGTACTGCCAGTTAAAGGAAGACAATAAAAGATTACTGAAGCTTATGGCTATTTCCAAAAGGCTTAAGAGAACTCCCTTTTTACAATAGTGCATGCAGAAATATGTATATAGTCTGATTTCAAAAAAAAGACTAAAACAAAGATGGAGAAAAGGAAAAAATCTAGTAGAAATATTAGCACAGCTAGGAATCAAAAGAAAGCCTTGAGTAACTGATAAATATGATTACTGAAAATTGTAAAAGTAAAAAAGGAATGAGTTTCAAAAAGGCCTAAACCAATAAACATTTAGTTACATACACACAAATTTCTTAGGGAAAAGCATGGCAGTCTATGTACAAACATTACATATCATGCCTGTGCTTTTAAGCTAAGCATTACGTGTTCTACATTATACTCCCAACACATAAACTTTCTGACATCTGAAATTTTAAATGATCTCTCTAGAACTTGAAAACTTCACTTTAATTACCTCATACAATGAACTTCCCAGCATTGGTTTTCTGCTGTTGAAGGAAAAAAAGATTTATCATTTTCACTATTTGTGAACCTGAGATAAAAACGATTTCTTCTTATTCAGTTTACTCATGAATTATACAGAAATCATACTTTGTTGTCTGTATGTCTGTCCTCGTCTGTATGTTATCCTCAATTACATGCTTTTAAAGATTCATGAAATATTCTACAAGCATTTGGCATAGAATAAGAGAGGCCACTTAAGCAATTAGAAATAAAAGCAGCAACTATTTTACATGTCAAGGCTTTTTTCCGCAAATAAAAGACATTTTCATTTCTAGAAGACTGAAATATACCCATTTAATTTTCTATAGTATCTCTTCATACTTGTCTTACCAGTATCCATCTGCCAGACGTACACAGAGCCATCTGAACACCCCACTACCAGGTAATCATCAGAAGGCCTCCATTTGATTACTTGAATAGGAAAAAGGTGACGAGATGCCAACATTATGCATTTTTTTTCTCGCAAACTTAGAAGTCCTACTGAGTGGTCACTGGCTACAGAGCAAATGCAGTGCTGTACTCTTGCCTGAAAAGAAGAATAAACCTCAATTATATTTAAATTAAGTTTAGAATAAAATGAATCCTATCTTTAATAACTTAGGGCAAAATTAATTATACATTTGCTGCCACTGAAAAGCTACCACAATATTAGGTCATGTTGAAAAGCGTGTTCCTTTATATTACACATAAAACCCAGATCAATCATCAAAATATTTTTATACAAAATTAATTCTAGATTAAAGATTGTAAAAGGTACATTGGAAAAACTGTTGTTCAAATCTAAAGATGACCTTACTAAAATGATTGCTATATCAGAGCAGGCAAAGCTGGGAAAAAAATTGATCTGTTATTAGGTGCTCTTCTTTCCACAGTGTGAACTTTCCTTTGTTTGCCGCGGTTGCTGCTCTCTTCAGTGCTTCTGTCTGTGACTCTTTCATTTAGACCAATGCTCTTCCCTGCACCTTTGCTCAAAAACAATACCCTCACCATCCCTCTGCACGATCATTTCTCGGGAGTCATAGCTATTCGAATTATCTGTAGCTATGCATTCCTGTTTCCTTCACAGTTTCTATCTATAATGTCAGCAGATAGATCACCTCAACTAGCCACACAATAGCCAATTAAATGTTCTGCTGTGTATTTTCTGCTCGCCTCTAGTTTTTGCCCTTCATCTCCTTTTTAGAACAAGACAAGATATAAATAATCAAAGATTTTCTCTGGTAATAGAGAACTGAATCCATGACCTAAAAAATTAAAATTTAAGTCTAGATTTCTGTAAAACAATTTATAAACAATTGAAAACATTTCAGTGACTTAATAGATTATGCTTCCAAGGTCATATTGAGGGAAACCATATGAAAACAGCCAACTGAAACTCATTCTTGTACATATTGTGGTTCTGCACTACACACGCACACACAAAAACATACACACACGCACACGCACACATGCATGCACACTTTCCCTTGCATGGGATCTAAAGAAAAAACGTGTCAAACCTCACCCTGCTGGGGTTCTTCTAAGCAAACAGGCTGTTTTTAACTGAAGATCAGTATCTCAATATCGTTCCCAATTGGGACATGTTGACAGGTATTAGATGGAAAAAAAAAAAAAAAGGGAGGAAGGTAGTAGTCAAATGTGCATGGGAAATACTGCCAACACTGAAGTTAGGTAGTAGCTGTTGTTTTTAACTACAGAACTTCCAAGAACCTTTAGAATGCTGTGAACGAAATTATCTCTTCAAAGGGATACAACAGCATTTATCTCCAAAGTTGTTTGATCATAGTAATCTTAGTAAGACCTAGTTTTAGATGAACACACTTCGGAAACTCAGGACTAAATTTTCTATCTATAACAGTGCTGGACCTTGGCATAAGTATTGAACATGGTCTATCAATGGTCTCATTTGCTTTCTTCCCCATATTATCTTCACCATGATTTAGCTTTATTTTTATCTTACTAAATGATGTTTATTTCTGTAAAAACCTCAAATCAATGTTTGAATGAAACAGCATAGGAATAAAACAAAGATAACAGTAATATTTAACTATTTACATTGTTCTTAAATTCAGGTGTTTTATTTTTATTCTTTGTTACCTTTATTTGTACTTTTTGTGTTATAATCACACACTATACTCAGCATAACAGGTGTTTACTCACTTTAAAAGTTAAGAAAACTAAGTTCAGAGAAATGGTATTACAAACCTTTACTAAAACATTATATAGAATATTTTAAGCATTTTTAAGCTTCCTTATTTTCCTGATAAACATTTACTTGAAACATGAAATGTGATCCTTGATGTCTTAACAAAAGACATTAAAAACTGAGGGGCAGTTGACTCTGACACACACAAATCAGTTTTATAATCAACAAATAAATACAAACAAAATGGCAAACTACAAAAATAGTTAAAGTGTTAAAGTTAGGTATATTAGAAAAAAACTGGGTTAAATACACACACACACAGCTACATATGTACCTTGCCAACTCAAAGCAACAGACAGTTTAATACAATGGATGATTTGCATTTCTAAAGCTTATGAGTACTGACTTTGTCAAATATATCCATTATTCATTTTATAAAAGGCGTTGGTTGCTACATTAATGGCTAGCTACAATGTTCTATTTTGCAACATTAATCTGCCAAAAAGTGGTCATTTGATTTATCTACCTCATCAAAGAAACAGTTATCTTTGTCTATGGGTAAAGTTAACTTAAATAACGATGCCTAAACAATATTCCTCTTAATCTATTCATATCCTTTCATCAGGCACTGGTCAATCACGGTATTCACACATCCAATGCTACTGTTTTCTATACATTAAAATGTTCAATAGAGCCACTATGTTGCCCAGGCTGGTCATGAACTCCTGGGCTCAAGCAATCCACCTGTCTCAGCCTCCCAAAGTGCTGAGACTAAAGGCTTGAACCACCACGCCTGGCCACCGACCCTACTTTTGATTCTGCTATTTAGAGTCACAAACTCTCCAAAATCTTTTTTAGAAAGAGCTAATTCCTAATTCGTGCCACACATCTAACTGACCTACTTGCTAGTCCCCAAGCTCAAAGTCATTTCATTCATGCTCACATACACTCTAGTCATTCCTTTTCAAAAAGTAGAGAAAATGAAGTATGAGTCAATATGGAGTTTTGCCAATATTCTCTACCGTTGGGTGTTCCTAAAATTCTCACCTATTGGAGATCTCAACATCTGAGGTGACACAAAGCTACTGACAACCACTGAGCTACACATACTCTCTGTCAAAGATCTCCTTACCGTAGTTTGTAATTTAGCAGAAAGAGGACTACAGCCATTAAGAAAAAAGGCTTTCCCATTCTTATGACAAACCTGACCTTCCACATTATCAACCCCTCATGAGAAGTTTCCCTGTCAAAACTTTCACCCTCCCCGTAGATATGCAGGCAGGCAGATATTTCAAAGGCTTAAGAAAATGTTATCTATTTTCATAAGACTTAAAAGCTCTACATTATTACTCTTATATAGTAAAAATAAAGGACACACAAACGAATATTAAATAAGAACATAGGATCTGCTTTAAAAAGATTATGAGATGTAATTTTCTGAAGGTTAATAAAAAAGAGCTTTAACTCCGAGATTCTAGCATTTCTACATGATGCATTCTCTTCTGACACATCTATTTAACTAAATATGTTTTAAAGAATACTTTTATTCCTCTTTCACATAGTGTAATAATGAAAACGTGCTAATAACAAGCTCCATCTACAAAAAACTGTTAGGTCCAGGCCAAGTGAGGTGGCTCACTACTATTAATACCAGCACTTTGGGAGGCCTAAGTGGGCTGATCACCTGAAGTCAAAAGTTCAAGACCAGCCTGACTAACATGGTAAAACCCCATCTCTACTAAAAATACAAAAAAATCAGCCAGGCATGGTGGCGTGCACCTATAGTTCTAGCTACTCAGGAGGCTGAGGCAGGAGGATCACCTGAAGCCAGGAGGCGGAGGTTGCACTGAGCAGAGATCACACCATTGCACTCCAGCCCGGGAAACAAGAGTAAAACTTCAGCTCAAGGGGGAAAAAAAAAAAAAAAGTTTGGTCCAAAATAAAAATTATATACCATCTCTGTAAATAATAAGTATCTAAAGAGTTAACTTTAGCTTTACTTTAATAAGAAACAGACTGGAATAGCCAAAATAATCAAGAATGAAAACAAAAAAAATCAATATTACTAAGCCCAAGAAAGAATAGTTATTAGAGGTACTTAACTCACAAGAAAAGATGGTTCTGTGTTTTTTAAATATGGATTAAAATAAATCTAATTTTTCTTCTTTCAAAAACTGCTAGACCAACTCATATAAAGAAAACTGGCCTGAAGTGGAAATGACTCGATATAGTAAAACCTCATTAATTTTGATTTCACTAATTAATTGAGTTGATGGCTACCTTTGCAGCCTGTGTGAAAACAAATTAATGGTATAAACAAAGCAAATGTCTCGCCTGTTTAAGTGTAAAAGGAAAAAAAGACTATTCAAGCAACACTTTGATATCAATTTTAATTCAAACAATGAACAGAGTAATAAATAATTCTCAGCTACCTGTTAAATGAAAGCACTTAAAAGATTTGCCAAAACACAATTAACTTGGTTTCCTCTTATCTGTCCTCAAAATTACTAAAGAAGCACTTCTTAAAGAATACGTTATAACTCATATTTCTTCCTGATTTACACCCAGCTTCTTCACAAATCAGTTGAATTAGCACAATTCCTTTATTATTAAATTCTGGAGAGCTGCATTACTGAACATCTATTTCACCTGCACTAATTCTATAATTTGATTAATTCCCTTCTACTTCACCTTTTCCCCTTTCAATCTGGAAAAGTCACTTAAACATGATTTAACACCAATGGCATTATAACAAGACAATGTATAAAACATTCAAACTATATAAATAAAATAATACAACGACTAAAAAATGTGAACCTCTTATTTTTAAACTTATTTGAAAAATATTTATGCCTCAAATTATTTTGATTACACACGCACTAAAGAATTTTGGTATGTGTTCCCAATAGTTGCTTATTTGTAAATTAGGTATGTGTAATTCTGTGCAATATATCACATAAATTGTAAAAATGTGCACAAACACATATTTTAAAAGGATGATTCAAAGTTTGAATAAACAAATTTAACAATAAACATTTCTCAAATGTCTCACTAATGTGAATAACTTCATATTACATTAGCCAATATCTCATGTCACAAAATAGAACCTCAGGAAGGGTTCCTTGTCAATAATAGCAGATGTCACAAAATAGATCCTTAGGAAGGTTTCCTTGTTAATGACAGGATGTAAATACAAATTTTATATAATTATAAATTTTTTGCTGACCTCCTGCCAGACTGATGAAACGATCATTAAAACTTCTAACATAGAAGAGATTTTTCATTAGAACTATCTTCCATCCATATTTTCCCTGCTCATTTTGTGATAACTAGGTTTAGAACTATATAATCTAATCTGTAAATCCCTCAAGCAAACAAAT